CGAACTCCTTTTAACATTTACAGAGACCCAACAGTACCACCAGTAGCATTTATGTTACAGTATATGACCAACAGAAGTGTAATACAGTTAATATGGTGAAACTGTTAACAAACAACTGCCTCTTTACACATCTAGCAGCTACAGAGCAACATTATCATTCACTTGGAGTCGTGTGTCTGGTCACCTGGCGATAGTAAGTCCAATATTCACTCTCTTGTAGCTGTTTTTGGTCTCTACCAACTGCTGAGGGAAATATCTGGATCTTTAGCTGCTATATGTTGTACTGTATATTCACAGGTTTGTCTGTCTGCTGTTCGGTACTGAGCAGGTAGTGTACTGTGTAGTGTAGCGACTCCTTTTCACCTGTCATTTGATAGCTTCATATTTTTTAATAAAATCACTGAATATAGCTGCTTTATAATGATAATGATAATTCACAGATGAGAAAATACTAATGTGGTTCTTGCTGACTAATCCTCAGCCCACGCCACACCACAACTGTGGTTTTAAATTCAGGGAGAGTGTTCATGTGTGTGCATTCAGACTATTAAAACATTGTTTCAGATGAAAATACCGAGGAAGAATGAAGGAGGAGTGGTGGAGTGGGGAGAAGTGACATCATCCCCTTAAACTTAATAGATTCAATCTGGCGGCGATTCCCCCAGCGTAAGCTACCCAAACCCCTCCACCCTTCTGTGAAAGAAACATTATGCTATAGTCAAATTCTTAAGTTGTTCCTCATCCCTTAGTCGCACACAAAAATAGATGGCTCTTTTGTTGGAAAGTTTACTCTGCAACACCACCTTCAGGAAACGGAGGATCTCAAGAGTTTTGGGTTTGCGGCCTCCCGTGTTGTTTCTGGCTTAGACGCAGGAGATCACAGTGAGGGCATGGTGTATTTGATGATTAGAGCTGATGATGAATAATGAAAAGGACCAGAGAGAGAGAGAGAGAGGGCTGTATGTGCTGCCTCGCTCCCTGACATCATATTTGGCCACCGACTGTCAGCCTTCTGGCTACTCTGGCAAATATTTCCACTCTTTTCCATAGTTGAGCATTTTTGCCTGGTTGCTTTTCCACAGGTTTCTTTTACTTGATGTCTGTGTAAAAACAGGGCAGACACAGCGAGAGCAGAGAGGAAAATGGGACAACCAATTGACTTGTCATCTTTGTAATGACTAACCTCTGCATCTTTTTCTGCCGTAGGAAAATTTAATTCAACATGTCTTTGCCATTAGCATTGGAGTATGAAGTTAGATAAGGAAAGTTACCAAATTGTTAGAAATTTTGCAAGCCAGCGTGACTCGTAAGCAGAGTAGAAGTTACCAGACACATATTACGGCACAACAACGCAGATGCTGGGGCGTGGAACAGGAATTAAGACACGTGAAAGGAAGTGACACATCCAAGACAAAATGAGCAGAAAAAATATGCTTCCACCTCTTTCCACAGTTTACCAAAGATATCAGAGAAACAGCAGACGCCTTCTTCTGGGCAAAGCCTGCCGCCCCCTGTCCAAACAGTCGGCTTCCTCTGCACTCAGATGCTGACTGATGTGGTGGGCTCTGCTCAGATCACAGCCGTGTCGCCGGCTCCTGGGCATATTTCAAAATGACCTCACAGCATGACCATTCTGAGCTATTTCCCACACTGCCACTCTCCCTTTAGAACGGGGTTTTCACTCGCCAGTTAAGATCTGGATTATTGTATCAACATTTGGTTTTAATTTGTTGAAAGAGGGCTGATTTGTCAAAGAAGTGCAATGTAAGCAGCCCCCTGTGTACATTACCCACTATAAATGCCAAAAGGGGCTTAGGAATGGCCTGAACCTCCATCCCCTAAATTACAGACTTGCAAGGCCAGGAATACTTTCTGGAGGAAGTGCCCGGCAAGACAGAAAAAGAGGGTCTCATTGCGGGAACTGGTGGGTGATGTGGCAGTGACCCACATCCTCTGACGCCCCCACCCCTCTCTGCCCTGTTGCCTGCACACATCCCACATGACCTGACCACCTTGTAAGCTTTCGGACTATCCATCCCTTGATTCATGTCCACCCCCTCCTCTTTATCATCTGTGTGACCCGGCCACAACCTAGGGGTAATTCCCATCACTTTCCATTCATCAGTACAGCTATTCATATTTAATTGGTGACAGTTCTGAGACAATGAATCAGCCTTTGCAAATTCACCTCAGGGACAGGAGGAAAACATCTGTTTGAAAGACAAAAAACCCACTCAAATCACGCTCTGGGATCCATGTCTGACTCTGAACTGGCCTCAGTGTGGCATCAAAACCGTAGACTGTGTGTAGCTTGCCTGGCTTTTAGTGGAATTGTTACTCAGAGTAACGTTTAATGTAATGTTTACAGAATACTACCCTTTTACGAAACAGACGTATACTGATAAAACAATAGGTCAGTTATTGTACAGTCATTTCTTCCACAGCACTACAGAGCTGTCACTCCATGACTAGTATGTCTGGGGCAGCACTTGAAATGACAAACAATTAAACAGAAAGTGTTTAACCTCTCCAGATCGTTTTGGCTGGTTGGCAGACAACAATGACACAGTATCACCTCAACTCAACGCAACACAGTGTTGTGGTGAATGTGGTAACAAGCAATTGCCTATTCACCAGCAGACATGGAGCAGATTAACATTCATTTGGAGATTTATTTCTGACAAAGGTCTTTAAGCTCTGTTCTTACTTTTTACCAAATCCCAAGGCAAAATATCTGGCAGTTTAGTAGTTAAACGCTCCACTATGTTCACCAGCAAATTGCTAACTTTGACTTTGTGATGGGAAGGCAGCAAAAGTGGGTTTATCAGAGCTGCCTGCTGTGGGCTGAAAGAGGCTGATGTGCCTGAATAAAAACTGTAAAGTTGCAGGCCTTAAAATCAAAACAATGAACTGAAAGACGCCAAAATGGTCTGTAAATTGAGGGGAATCATCGCTGAGGGATTTCTTTCACATTACATGTAGTCATTTCATACAAAAATATGTATCATCGCAGCTTGACCAGCTAATACTGAAATTACACAACACTTAAAATTTTCCATTGTATTGTCTGTGACGCAGATGGAGTGTGAAAAGTGACATGTTTGCTATTTTGATTTACGCAGAACTTCCTCCATTCACTACACTACCATCCTTCCAAATACAGCTCCCTTGAACTAATGGCTTTACTATTTGTATCATAATAACTCTATAAGCCATGTATATATTTGTAGTGTCAATTGAATTGTTATTTTGTTGTGTTTTTGTTATTACAACACATTTCCTGACATAAGGGGGAATTCGGAAATTTCGGGAAGGAACTGGAGTTTAGGCGGTTAAATGCAATTACCTAAACCATTGTTCATAAAACCCACTCAATGGAATTTAGAAATACTGGGGCAAACCAAACAAACAAAGATGACTTTAAAGGCCAATTATTTGGTGGGTTAAATGACACAACAATGAAAATACAGCCAGATATTACTCACAGCAAAACGAGTCTACACTGTGATGAAATAACTGAACTTTCCCTCCTTCCTTCCCAGTGAATTACACTGCGCACACAGCCTTGCACTCTCTCCTGGCTGACTGAACCATAGGTATGAGTACAACACTGAACCATGCAGAGGAGTCATCTTCAAATATACACATTGATCACGTAATCCTCGCAACTGATCGGTGGTCTTTAATCACGTCATGGTTTGTTGTTGACACAGGCAGTTGCCTTTCTCAGAAACCCATGAGTCACTGTCCGTTAAATGCGGCTGGTTTATCCCACCTGCCCAGGCATGTAAGCCTGCATGTTGTCAAAGTGTGACTGTTGTGTGAAGCCGAACTGCAGGAAGACTGGAAGACAGTCTGGTGTGTGGTGAAGACACAATTGCTCGGGAAGATTCCATGATTCATGAAGAGGAAACTGCTATCATCTTAATCAAAGCCCTGTAAACAAAAACCCTTTGACATCCAGTATCTGATGATGTTGAATAAAGCCAACGTGTTTGAAGTTTGCTGTTTTTTCTCTATTCGGCACGAGTGTGTTGATAAATGTTTTGAGTTTTATTCCCACGGAAAGAAGTTCGGACGGAGAGTCTAGCACAAAGTCAGGGCAGATACCTTGTTAATTAAAGGAATAGTTCAACATTTTAGGAAATATGCTTATTAACTTTCTGACGGAGAGTGAGATGAGAAGATTATTACCACTGTTAAGTAGGCTTTAAGGTTTCAAGGTAACAAAACTACTGCTCAGTAATTAACACATTATATCTCATTTGTTTAATCTTTGTAATACACAGAATATAAAAATGGCAAGGGGTTATGTGCTGGATCCTATCATTAGGAGGGAAAGAGGAGAAAGCTTTAAAAAAATCCTCCTGAAAATGAATCATTTTCTTTGTAACAACATCATCCAGTCACATGACCTTAGACATGTACTGATCTAAATTACTAATGTTGGAGAGGATTTCTTTGCCATGCATGGACCTGCGGATAAATCGGAATTCCAGTAAAGAAAAGGCAGCTGGGAAGGGCTAAATAATAATCAGCTAAATAATAGTCAGCTCTGAATGCTGCTCCTCACAAGGCTGAACAGAAAAGACAGAAGGCTAACGTTACTAGACAAGAGGTAGCTAAAATCAATAAAGGAGCCACCAGCTGTGTGTGTGTGTGTGTGTGTGTGTGTGTGTCTATGTAGCCTCCATCACCGAATTGTATGTCTCTCTCAGTTTACATGTTTGTGTTTATATGAGTTTAGTTCATAAGCATGTTTCCCAAAATGTTAAACAGTTCCTTTAAGGTAATGTTTGACATTGACAAATGTCATATAATGTTTATATTACAGCATTCATTTAGCCCTCCCAGAACTAAAATGAGGCTATAAATCAGTCTGATGATTACTTGGCTCTGTTTGCACTTGTCATGTGTCTCATATTAAACTCCAGATTAGGATTTATGTTTTCTGTTGCTCTTATGAAGGACAAATTAAGTCACACACAGAAACGCACAAAGAAAATGTTCTAGAAATCACTTTATTCATTTTTCCAAACGCATAAACAATCAGGAAAAGATACTTGACATCAATTAAAGCACAACCAGGTGATTGACCGGTAGCTAATCAACAAGATCAATGAAAAATAAAAATCACTCAGATAATATTCATTGCAGTGTATTGAATAATAGGCACATTGATCAGATGTGAGAATTCAGATTCAGCCCGGTCCTGGTGCTGAATCAGACATATTCTGGTCTCACTACAAAGAGGTAGATGTACTTGTCATCAGGACAGGGATAGGCAGCAACGTGGGTCTCATTCATAGGGATTTGGGCCATATTGACCTTGAAATCCTGAACCTGACTGATGTACTTGCCTTGGCACAAGAGCAGGAGCCGGTTGCGAAAGAGGATGCGGCTCTGCTGGGTGAGGCGGTTTTGGGGATACAGCCTTGCCATAGGGAAGGACTCGCACCTCAGACCTCGGTTTGAACATTGCTGTTGGTTCTTGAAGACATTTGCCTCCCAACTAATCTTGTTGTCCTTGAAAATCAGGCTGTTGTGGACAGGTGTGCTGAATGACTTGGTTGGAGCATTATAGTCATAATACATGTGGCCGTTGTAGTGATTGTAATAGTGGGTTTGGACTGGAGCATCCTTCAACTCAATAGCAGTGCTCCATGGCTCAGCGGTGTAGATCCTGGGCTGGAAATTATCATCTTCGCTGCTGAACTGTGGGTTGGACAGATTGCTGAAGAGAACAACATTAAACTGGAGTGCTTTCAACATGTTATCACGATACATATCCTTATGAGTGCTGTAGAGAGGAGACTCGTACTCCAGCTCATACAGTTTCTCAGCAGGGATCATAGGGAAACGGATACGACTCAACAGGTCAACCTGGGTTTTCAAACTGGTGAGAGAGATGCCCTTCTCCGTGATCCACCTCTCCACAGTCTGAAGCAGAAAATATTCATCTGGCACTACCAGGTCGGAGCGGGTTAGAAGGGCTCCGAGGAGCTCACTGGAGAGGCTAGTCCAAGCAGGAGAGCTGGTCAGATTTTGGTAGTTCCAGGCCAGATACTGAATACAGTTCTCCCGGAGGACCAAGTCCCCAGTTTCCTCTGCATATTCGTAAAGGGATAGGGGGGTGTGAAACAAAGTGTCGTCTGGGAGGATTTTAGAGAACATCCGGCCTGCGTCCTCCATCAGCTGCTTCACCCCAAACTTAGAGGCCATCCAGTGGAGGCACTGCACGGAGGAGTAGGTCACGTCTATCTTGCGGGTATAAATGTACCTATTGAGAACCAGATTGTAGAATAAGGGTTTGATTTTGGTTTTTCAGTGATTTTGTTTTCTATGTACCTTCTTACTAAACAATTAGGTGATATTAAAATGGATTCTGTATCTTAAATCAACATGAGTTGTTACAGTTTCAGTATACCTGATGAAGGAGGTGAAATGCGGTTGGCAGGACTGGCTGAGGCTGACCGTGATGTTATTAATTCCCTCTGAAGCATTGAACAGTGGGAACTGTGAGAGGATTATTTTGTGCGCACATATCGTTATCCTAACCATCTCTGGGGTCCCGTCCTCCTGTCTGTTTCCAGTTGCAAATTGGACTAAGATCAGGAAGTCACAGCCATTCCCAGTGTCAAAGATTTGGCCGAGCGCATCAGACAGACCGAGGCTATGGTCCAGCAAGCGTGTAGAATCACCGATGGTGAAGTTTGTGCCTGAAATCAGAAATCAATGGGACATTGGATAGAAAATGAGCATGAAAAGTAACAAGCTTTCTATTTACTGGATCAGATGTGTTCTTTATAATGGGGCCTTTGCCTTGTAAGAGTTTAGATACAAACCGGCTGTTTCACAAATAACTCCAACATCCTCTTTGTGGGAGCAGTCAGTCACTCCCCAGCCTTTGAAACCACAAGAAGACAGATGCTTCTCTGTGCCTTTACAGGTAATATCATCCAGCCAAATAGGTCCAGTTGCTATGAAGTAAAATAAAAGGGAATAAATTAGTTAATTATGAACTTTCTGATAGCTGAATTTGCGGTGTTTGTATGTCACAGCTTTAATCACAACTCCTCAGTCATTACAATCATTTCGCTGCCCTCTGGTGGCGGATAAAAGGAAGTACCTTTGCCGTAGTCTTTCCCAATGACGACAGATTTGGCTCCGGGGAAGTGGAGCTGACGACACACCACCTGGGCCTCAGCCATGTCCCACCCGTCGTCACACACCGTTCCCCATTTCCCTTCATGGTAGACTTCCACACGGCCCTCTGAAACATTCTTGGAGCCAAACAGCCTCACGTCACCTTCCTGCGGCTCAGGGTTTCTGTCTGTATGCACAGGCGTAGGACATTAACCATGACAGCAGATAAGTTAAACAAACATATTGCATACAGTTCTTTTGCAGTTCAACATCCAAAATTAGTACAGTACTAAAACGGATTTCTTTGCTTGAATTACTTTCAAGGTAAAAATTCTCAGCATTTTGTTAGTTTTTAATGCAAGTTCTTCATATTACTTACCCAACAAGTTCAATCTGAACGCACTTCCAGCAACGTGGAGAAGTAGCAGAAGCCACAGAGTGCATACTTTTCGATGTGTGAGCATTTCCAACCTCAAGTGTAGGACTCTTGACACAGATATATGATGACAAAGAACCTGCAATGTGAGAAATGTGCTATTTCTACTTTACTTTACAATTTAAGATATGTCCTGAAGGATTTCGAGAGAACCGAGTAGAGCTGCAGTGTGGTCTTTTAGCATTTACAATACATCTATTGTTTAAAAGAGTGAATATAAAACCACTGTAGCTTTTGCCTGCACTTTATGTTAATGTTTTAATGTTTTCATTAAGATGGAATGCAGTTCAGTTTAATATTTATTCAAATTGAAACTGACTTAACCAAATCTGTGCATTCATACATTAAAAGGTCAAACAGTCAAACATATTATGAAACCACATTACCTTCTGGCTGTTAAGTGCTGTCGTCCTCAAATGCGCTTCTCTCTTTAGAAGTCTGTGACTCGAATCTCACTCCTTTTTAAGTCCTGCTAAAAACAGGATGCATAGGTTCACTTCCCCACTTCTGCTGCTTTCCCAAAGTTTCATTTCACATTAAAAGCAAACAGGAGGTTGCTCAACAGTGTTTTGTCCCAACTTGTTTGAGGACAATGGCTGTCCCAGTTTTGTAGAGAGACCCATATCAAATCGCAAGACGCAGAAAATAGGAATCAAGCTTTTACTCATCCCACCAAAAACAGTACATACAATATAATCAAATTTTCACCAAAATGTCCTTCGAATAATGTTGAGTTTTTTGAAGAATAAAAACAGGCCTTTAGTTATTCTACTGAAAATAACATTGTGGTGTGTACAGAATGATAACATGGAGCAAAGGGAGAAAAAAACCTCTGACCTTTTGAGAGTGTGCAGTATGTGCATGAAAATGTTTTTCTTTATGGAAAAAAACTCACAGTCTGACAAATTAATCTTTTGTACATTCATTAGAAGAAAGGCTACAGTGCTGTTGAGGGCCACCTTTGGCCTTGGAAGGAAATGATCCACCACAAGACATGCTGGCATTGTCTGTTTCGACTGGCACTTTCTCAAAAACCCGAAACAGGACCACATTTTACAGTCTCAGCACCATAGTTCTATTTATACTGAAGATGATCCTTTAAGGGTTAGAGTTTTAACAAACTCAATGAGGAAACAGCGAGTACAGTTACTTCAACAGTGACTGGATTGTAAACAAAATAGAACAACAGTGCAGTGGCCTCAAAAGCAAGTCTCTAAATGAACTCCAAGCCTTCATATTTCACGTCGCCAATCTTGGTTTCAGGTAAAAGGATGCGTCCGTCAAGTGTGAAGGCCATGATGTACGTGGCAATCTTTCCGGCGTCTTCCTCCGACTTGAGAGCCAGAATGATCTGGTCGTCCGTATTGGGGACAAACTTGAAGGAGGAGAAACCGTGAGTGGGGTTAAGAGGACCCACTCGACTTACAATGATGTCTTTGAAATCTGGCGAACAGCTGAGGACGAGGTTTGTGCCGCGGCGCTCGTCCGCCGTCTCCTCGTAGCGCTCCTTGCTGGCGCGGCGAGGCAGGAAAAACCAGCGCTGCAGGGTGTCGCTCCATGCCGCTGACTCATGGATGAGATACCCTGCAGAGATGGGACACGGTGAAGAGTGAATGGAGATGAAAGAAACAGAGGCGATCCTGAGCAGGACCAGATTTAAATCCTCACCTGGAGGCGCTATCCCTGCAGCAGACTTAAGAGAATTGTACTTGGGAACCCAGTTCTCATGCTGTACATCCCCTCTGAAGCCCACTACTTTCACCCACTCTGGGTTGTTGTTGACGAACTCTCCTTCAGTGGTGGTCCACTCTTTCCCCAGACCGCCGACGTACAGGCGCTTGTCCTTCACTGCCAACCACTCAGCTTTGAACCCTGTCAGGAGAAAGTATATAAGTACATTAAAAGTACCTATTAAACATAAAACACTCTTGTCCTGCATTTAAACCCCTTCTTAAAATATTTATGATAAAGAAAAAATGGCTGTAACTGTATTTGTCACACATAACTAGGGGAGTTGCGAGATGATCAAACAAACTCTGCTACTACTTCGAACCTTTTCGAGCCTCAGTTCCATTTATTTAAATGAAACCATGTGAAAAGATTCAGAGGGGAAATGTCTGTTAACCAACAGTTTGTCTGGAACGATAAGAGGAACTGGAGTTTGTGGCGGTTTCACAAGACCAAGCTATTGTATTTTAGACTTATCTAAAAAGTAACAAGTAAAGAAAGATGTCAAAAAAATCAGTGGGGTAAAAAGTACAACATTTCCCTATCAAGTACCATAAAATGGAATTACTCAAGTTAAATACTGAATTACAACAAGTGTGAGAACAGGGTAATGCCGACCTTTGGCAACGTTGCCGTCGCCGTCAGTTAAGATGACCCAGGGCACGGCCTTGTCGCCATCAATGTGGTAGACTATGCCCGTCCTGTCGTCGACGCTGTAGAGCTTCCCATTGAACACCACCAGCTCAGACAGCTCCATACCCCTGCCCTTCTCCGACAGGTGGCTTTCCAGCACCACCCTGTCCGCGTCCCAATCAACTGCTACCTTGTCACCACTTTGGGACACCAACAGGTACCCCCGCCGCATGTAGCTGAACCATGTCAGCTTCTTGTCACTGCGAGAGCTCGTGTCCAGGTCGGCAATGACCCCAATGCGGTAGCGGGTGCCCTGCGGCGTGTGCTCCGGCGGACTGAGAGGGTAAGTGTCGTTGTAGCGAGAATCGGACTGCTGGGTGTCGACGGGACTGGCTCTCCAGCCGTGCGAGCCGTAGGAGTGAGAGCGCAAGCCTGGGCTCAAGTGCATGAAGAGCAGCAGAAACAGGGCCAGGGAGAAGGCCACCACCACAATGGGCTTCCACTTCAGGCGGAAACGAGGATCGGTGGTGTTGGCCATGGAAGCCAACATAGGGAGGCCTCCTACAGAGATGCGCAGATTGTTCATAGGCTCATTCTGCTCCAGTCGAGTGAAGCCTGGGTGAGCAGGCATGGAGGACGGAGGTCTGGAGTGACCTAAAGGAAAATAAAGACAGACAGTAAGTACACTTGTCTAACACGAAACAGGGCAGCAGCAGGCTGTCAGAAAGAAAAGATAACGATTGACGTGTAATTGCTAATTTACCAACTGACAGGTTGAACGAGTCTACTTGACTACAATGTCCCATATTTCACCCTTGCTCTACAAGTAGGTAACAGCAAAACCAGTTGCTCGGGTCCTCTAAGGACCTGATCTGTTTGGTGACATCTGGAAGTTGCTCGGAATTCCTCCCGGATCCGTATTCTTCATTTGTGCTATAATTTGTGTCCATACTTTTATTTTACTGTTGGTCTATTCAATATATATGACATCTATTACATGTATATTCATCCTGGGAGAGGGCCCCTCCTCTGTTGCTCTACCTGAGGTTTCTTCAATTTTTTCCACCCATGTTAAAGAGTATTTTTTTTCTTTTTTCAAATCTAAAGGGTCTAAAGATAGAGACACACTCCACATCTCTGAGCATACATTTGAATAAAAGTATCTTGTTACTAATCCCTCGCCCATTTCACTCGGTAAATGTCAGACAAGCTTAAGATCCTCTGATTTTCATGAGAATATGTAACTTTTTGCTGAACACTAAATGCTATATAACATAGTGTAACATACCTGACCAAATAAGGCAGTAGCAGGAAATTTAATGGAGCAGTGGTGTGATATAACGCTTATGAATTCATGTGTTATTTCTTCTTTTAAAAGTTACATAGCCTTGAACTTGGTCATTTTTCCTCAAGTACAGTTTACCATTCAGGTTTGTGCCGGTTTATTTTATCAGGTACAAGCCGTAGTAACTTGAACCGTACGGATCTGGCTGGAATATAAAGCTATACTGATTCAGTTGCAGGAAACAGTTGTTACATCTGTTTTGCCCTAAAAGGTCTAAATGTACTTTAACCCCATAATGAACATCAATGAGTGAAAGGCACACGTTATTAGACATTTAGATAATAAAACTCAATCTTATCCTACTCACATACTCTCCATAGGTAGACTCTACATCAAATCTGTAGTCCCGAGGTGGCTTGGAGATCTTCAATTCGGCCTATATTTTCAGCATTATTTTAAATTCTGGTAAGAGCTCAATCAAGCGAGTGAATGCCGGGTTAAACATTGCAGGACAAGAAGCAGGAAGTAGCCCAGCTTTAGGTTGGGTGACTATCAGGTGCACAACCAACACTGCATTGTAAACGTGGAGGCTGGGAGGAGCCCATTCAGTGACGGGACGGCTGCTGTGAACAGGTAAATCAGGAAAGACAGATAATACAGCCAGATAATACAGCCCCACTGTCACCATCATTGATTTGGTAAGAAAATGCGGACACGATTAGTCCATCAACAGAGAATTAATCACCAAACACCTCTTCCCTTTATGGCCTGAACTATTTTGAAGCATTTTTAAGCATTGACCTCTTCAACTCCTCCCTCAGAGTGTCAAAACACTGAGTCATTAGTCATTACTGGTTCTGTTAATGTGCAATAAGTCGATACACTTCATTATTATGTCATTCTTGTAATTATT